TCTGAAATCAACCCCGACAAGACTGAACTACTTCTCTTTCCCGGAAAAGATTCGCTTACCCAGGACCTGACAGTCAACTTTGGGAACTCCGTACTAACGCCCACTTCGACTGCTAAGAACCTCGGCGTCACACTCGACAGCCAACTCTCCCTGACTCCCAACATCACTGCGACAACGCGATCCTGTAGATACACTCTCTACAACATCAGGAGAATACGTCCCCTTCTCACTCAGAAGGCAGCGCAGGTACTGATTCAGGCTCTTGTCATCTCCCGCCTGGACTACTGCAACTCCCTCCTGGCAGGTCTCCCTGCCACCGCCATTCGACCTCTGCAGCTCATTCAGAATGCAGCAGCTCGACTGGTCTTCAACCTTCCGAAATTCTCCCACACTACTCCACTCCTCCGCTCTCTTCACTGGCTACCGGTGGCCGCCCGCATCCAGTTCAAAACACTGGTGCTCACATACCATGCTGTGAATGGATCGGGTCCAGCTTACATCCAGGACATGGTCAAACCCTACATCCCAACCCGCACTCTCCGCTCTGCATCTGCAAAACTACTCGTCCCTCCCTCACTGAGAGCAAAACACTCGACTAGGTCTCGACTCTTCGCTGTCCTTGCGCCGAAATGGTGGAACGAGCTCTCTGAAGACATCAGGACCGCAGAGAGACTTCACATCTTCCGCCGCAAACTAAAGACACACCTCTTCAGACTCTACCTCGACTAAAGACTAACAAATTGTAGCACTTAAATTGTACTTGTAACGTCACTCATCTATAGCAAATTGTAAATTGGCTTATTTGAGGAAATTGCACTTTCTTGTTTCTTGTTCTCCTGAGTTTGTACCCTATGGTTGAATGCACTTACTGTACGTCGCTTTGGATAAAAGCGTCAGCTAAATGACATGTAATGTAATGTAATGTAAATCATTTCACTGTCGTAAAGCCTGTATGAAGAGAAATAGAGCCTCACGCTGCCGCCTGCTGGCTAAAGGCTGGAGTGCACATTCTCTATAAACCCATTACACGTCTTTATACAAGTTATTATATTTCTATAAAATACACTGTTCACTTGAAACTATATTTTTTGTCAATGACAACAAAACACATGAAAAGAATATGTGTGCCCGTCACAAATAAAACAAAAACTTCGCACAATTAATACAATTAAATGCTGTTAATCACAGAACAGTCATGCGATTAATCAGGTTCAATTCTTTCATCTTCACTAATACTTACCACATTATACTTTTACAAAAAATACACTGTTAGGTGATTTTGTTTTGTAATACTTTGTGCATGGAATAAAGCATTACCTTTTTAATCACTACGAAATCAGCGTCTTCATTTGTCGTATTAATTCAATAATTCACATATTGATCAAAACCATAAACAATAATATAAAGAAAGCTTTTTTCACCAGGGAAATGATTAAGGAATGGCAGGATGGACAGGGACGATGGTCAGTGTTGGACTATGGCAGCATGGCATTTGGATCAGCAGCATGAGCTCATGCCGTTAAACTAGATGTGATTCAGGCGCATTGAGAGTGTGTAGTGGAGCTGTTAAGACATCACCAGTACGGCCCTGCGGGTAGAGATGCGTCTGATTTGTACATGCATACATGTACTTATTTAAATGTTTCATTGTATATGTTGTTTGTTTGTTTATCTCTATATATTCATATTTTGAAGGCGTGGCTACAGTGCGTGAATTGAGGGTTGCACAATGTCTGATACGCTCCTCCGAGCGTCAGGTGGCGATAATGAGCCAACTAGATGAACACGGACCGTAGTATCGCGAGAAGAGAATTCATGCGCACGGCGCGAATAGACTTCAACCGTCAGTTCCTCCTCGGTCTCCTGCTCCTCTGTGGGGGTGAACTCTTACTCTGCAGGATCTCTTTCTCTTACCTTTATAGAGAGAAACATGAAACGAACCGAAACTTTGTTAGTAAATGTTATTTCATTCGTAACTTTGCAAAAGGATTCTGATGAACTTCACAGACTGAGGAGTTTACTTGTTGAAGAGCTTCAGTTCACATCACTCAAGACGTCCAAGGTAAAGAGAGAATGACTCAATGTTTGTGTGATTATATTAACATTTATTACGTGAGGATTCATGGATTACACAAGATATTTACAGAATTAAACTGAAAAGGGATGCAATTCATTGATTAGGGTTCAGGATGTAACCTGGGTTAGGGCTCAAGTTATTACCCACGAGTTACTGCAATGTGGTCAAACAGGACAACCAGTGAACGCAGGAGAGTAAAAAAAGGTAAACAAAAGACGGCACACGTGTGTTCAGACTGTCGTACATAAAAACATACGACACAAAAAAAGTCAGTGTAAACTTCCCGGATGGTCCATAAAAGAGTGTAATCATCACAAACCGAGGCAGAATACCACTTCAAACAAATCAATCAATTCACAGCAACATAAAAAGACTAAAAACCACAAAATAGAAATGCACAAGCAGGATGGCTGCTCTATCACTGTGTCACAGCAGAAAGACACAAGAAAAGCAAACATAACATAATAACACATGCTAGTGACTTATTAACAAGTCTACCATATAAGAGGTAAGAGCCTCTTCTCCTCTGTCTCCTCTCACAGGGAGGAGATGATCTGCAGCATCCTGGTGATCTTCATCCTGACCTCCTGTGTCTGTGGTCGGTTCACTTTTGTGTTTGTGAAGCAGCTGTGAAGCATCAGCACACACTCCTCAGAAACATCTGGAGATGGAGTCTAAAGGCTCCATGTTAAAGCTGTCACTTTGTCACCTCCTCCTCTCCTTCTCTGTCTCCTCAGCAGGGTCATTTGTAGTGAATGTGACACAGAGCTGGTATCATGCAGAGGAGAACCACAACATCTCACTGGAATGGATGTTCCCCACCAGCACGGACCCCTCCCCCAACGTCCTTCATGTCTACTGTGTGATGTTAGCTGATGAGAGACCCTCACTCATGTTTCATCTGTATGAAGGTGTCGAGGTCCCACAGATTCAGGATGAACGCTTTACAGGACGACTCCAGTGGGACAAAGACGTCCTCAGAGAAGGACGACTCAGACTTCACATCTCCAGACTCCAGACTAATGACTCGGGGCTGTACTGGTGTCAAGTGGACACAAGTTATGGGAAGAACTTTAAGGAATGTCACCTCAAGGTCACTGGTAGGTTCATTAAGTTAAACTTACTAACACGTTTAATTCAGCAGCTTTATTCAGATAAATAAACCTTTTTCTTTACATGAATAAACAGATTTGTTGTGTCTCTTTGCAGCAGTGAAGGATCGACCCGAACCTGAGACAACGAGTGACACCAGACTGAGAAGAGAAAGGGAAAGCATCGTTCTCTACTGTGCACTGGGACTGACAGCAGCTCTACTGGGATGTTTCTTTATTTTCTATCTGCATATCAAAGAAAGATTAGTGATCAGCACAACAAATGATACATCGTTGTTAAATTCATCTAAGTTTTTGCACAGAAAGTGTCCAACGTCTGACATCAAAGTATAAATGTGTGATAATTTACTGTGTACAAGTCAAATTAAATGTTTTCGTTACATCTCTTTCTTTTTTTATCAGAAGAACAGAGACCGACCTTCGTGATCTACCATTTAATATTCTGCTTTTACGAGAAATTATTTTCCTTACGTTACGTAAAGAATTTAAAGAGTCTCTTGCATCATCTTTAAAACTGCTTTAATCCACCACATGAGGGATGACGTGTGCGTGTACTCCAGTTTACGCTGTGAATAAACAATGAGGACACGTGAAGGACAGACGTTATGAGGCATGATGGGACATATCTAGCAGCTTGGGGACCAATGGGTGTCCATCAGGGAGCAGATGTTCAACTAGATGACGATACCCATAGACATAATATACATAGACGCCGCATTGGCTTCGGGTCGCGAGAAACAAGGCCGCCATCTTGTAGCGGTGGTGCTCGTAGTAGCGTAGCAGCAGAAGATGCAGGAGGCCACAGCACTGTGCTGCTTATTTCTGCGCTAATCGGCGGCCCATCGCCAGCAGGGCTCAGGGGGATTAACCTTTCACAAGTAAGATTTAACATTACCGTCCTATTTGTTGTGTTTTGTGAAAAGAATATTACCAGAGAGCAGAGAAGGAGCAAGTATCTCACTGTAGTGAAATGGTAGTCAGCTAGCTTGCCGATGTTTATTTCCCCGGCTGTTTTTCACCTGATTATGAACTGAGACTTGATGAGTCATATTCCATAACACTTAGATTCAAACGGACACACTAATGTTATTGTAGAAATATAACCTATCACTGGTATAACATTGGCCACACAACTTTCTTGTCATGTGGAATTAACGCATGTTAAAGCAGCGTGCTATGTAGCGAACTAGCTGCTGTGTTTGTGATACTGAGCTCGCTGCATTTCACTGTGTAGCAGCTTTTGTGTAGTGAAGCTTTATTCATGGCAGAGTAACTGTTAGCTTAGCTGAGTTCAATGTGAAAGCAACTTGCCAACACAGTGTATTATTCACATGTAATTCAACAAAAGTAAGATACCTCTCGTATCTCATATCCCGCTTACTTACAATAAAGGCAACAGAACATCTGACCTTAGAATGGTTTGCAAACAAGCTTATTTACAATTTCAGCAACTTTCGGTTCATCATCAACAATATTCATCAACATAGGAGTTTTGTTTAAGAAAGGTGAAGAAAGAAAATAAGCTTGAACTTCTTTGTGAAATGTTTTTGTGTAGACTCTCCCAAATCTTCCGTTTTCATTTTGAAGGTTTCCAAAGGACAAACATGTGAGGAAGAAGTGGCTTTGAGGGGAGATGGACTTACAGCAAGTGATTCATCAGTGCTTCGCTGTGAACACTTCAAGCAGAGGGACTTTGATAAGACGGGTCAGATTGTCCCACTCCGAGATGGTGTTATTCCATCAGTCTTCAGCTTCCCGGTTCACCTCCAAAAAGTAGGCTATTAGCATTAGCATTCATAAATTTACATATTCTATTATCATCACAGGGCAGGGTGAGATACTTATCCCTTTTTAATATATACATATATATGTATGTATGGTAATATGTCAGTGGGAAAAGGGCAGGTCTACCTCTACCTCCAGAAGACCTGATGAATGTCTGTCTGTGGCCTCTCAGGATTCCCAAGAAATGGCAACCTCACACCCACAGCCTCAGCCTAAGGATGTGAATATTTCTACTTTAAACGTCATATAATAATGTTTTGGACATATTAGAATCTCACTTGTTTGCTGCCACTCATATTACACACACACACACGTGAAGACACGTTGAACATGCCTTCCTGACACACACACACGGTGCTGGCAGTGGCTTTGAGAGGCGATGACTATAAGTAGGCATGTGGGCCATAAACTAGTGTCAAAGTGATGTTTGTGAAATGAAACTTTACTCAAACCATGTTCATCTCTTTCAACTAGGATCGTGGTCACGCCTGCTCCTCCTACCGCTCTTAAGACGAGACTCAACGAAGCCTTGGCAGGAGTGGGTTACAAGTGGAGAGTTACATTCTGCACTGCATGGTTAGTTAGACCCTCTTTGGTGCAAACACCCGGCGTTCTGTTGAAGTTATTTGTGTGCATGTGTGTGCGTGCTTGCAAATATTCAATTCATTTTATTTCTGTATTGTTTTTTAACATATTAAATGTCTGACTTTACTACTACTACTACTATCTGCTTCTCTATCAAAATTAGTGTGTGATTTGCAAAATACCTATCATAGATAACAGTAATGTTATATTCTGATATATGATGTGAAGTCCACAATGAATATTAAAATACGCCGAACTATGTGCCCTGTGTCATAGCTGCATGTATGACCTTTGCAGCAAAAAAAAACCACGTGAAAATCAGCTGGGTGTTCAGTGAGGGATGATTAATTGAAGGCGCTCACAGCTGATTGCACCTGCAAACAGATCACACTGAGGAGGACCGTTCCAAGATGGCGGCTGCCTTTCTCGTCAGTGCCAATAGGCGGAAGCGGCCAATGCGGCGTCTATGTAGATTATGTCTATGACGATGCCTGTTACACGCCCCCGGGATTCATTGGTCTTCCGACCAATGAAACTGACACCCACCTCGTGCTGCGCTTCTGTACCGCTGTATTCTCAGTAAGACGGACGGTGGACTTCAGGTCCGTTTAGACGCGTGAACGCACCTTTACAGAGAGAAGAACGAACCGACGCCTCGTTTGGGAGTTTTATTTCATTCTTAACTTTGTAAATGAGTTCTGATGAACTTCACTGACTGAGGAGTTTACTTGTTGAAGAGCTTCAGGTCACATGAATCAAGACGTCCAAGGTAAAGAGAGAATGACTTCATGTTGTAATGATCATATTAACATTTATTACGTGACGATTCCACAAGATATTTAAGGGTAATAAAGCTGTTTTGTTCATTTCAGAGAATTAAAGCGTGAAATGATCAAATTGATTGAAGACCGATCAGAATAAAACTGATCCATCACGAATCAGCTGTATTATTTAGTAAAGAATTATTGTCAACAACAGCTGGAGGTTGTGTGTTATTTGTTATAAACGTTGGTACGTAGATGTTCACACTGCTTCATTGATGACAATAAGAAGCTGATGTGTTGGAGGAAACATGAGGTTTGTTAGAAGAAGTTGAGGTTCGGTTGGAAACGCGACGACGGGACAGAAAAAGACCAGCTTCGATCAGCTGAGACAGTTTGTGCATCTGTTCTGCTCGTGATCGACAACAACACGGTGACTTCCGGTGCGTTCACAACAAAACCGAAGCGAACTTCCGACTCGCTTTACTCGCGCATGCAAGTTTACTCGCGTGAAATCGGGTTATTCGCTTCAAGTGCGCCCGGAAGTCGGCGTGGTGGAAGCATGACGTCATTATCGACACAGGTTAGCCGTTTCTCAATCCCTAAGACGGCGAGAACGGACTCGCGTTCCCGCGAGAATAGACTCGGGAGACAGACTCGGGAGTCCTGACTCACGGGTACGGGAGAACGGAGAACGGACATTTCCGCAATTGGAACAGCAGCTGACTTGATGACGTCACCACAGTAGGCGGTCTCTGTTTACGCACGCAAGTATCTCATCTGCCGTCGCAGCTTGCTGAGGTGAAATGCATTCTGGGATATATGTCTCTCACAAGAACAGACGAGCCTGCTTCGATGCATGCCCGGTAAAATGGGCGGGGCGAGTCACATCCGGGTATTATGACCGTTCTCGGCCAGATGCGGACTTGAGAATTGGAACAGTACTCGGGCTGTGACTGATGACGTTTCACGAGTCCACGAGAACAAAAGTCCACACAAGAACGCATATTGAGAAACGGCCGTTGACTCTCTGCGACTCCTCCAGGAAGTGGATGACTGCGGCTTCCAGCGCCGTTTCAGGCGGACCAGCAGCCGGTCTGATGACCTGGGCCCGTTTTTTCAAAAGGTTTAATCCGGATAATATTGATCCGGATTTAGTAATCCTTTTTTTTTGCGATCCGTGATCACGTAATCCGGCTTACTTTTGAGCCAGTTTTTCAAAGCAACATCGGATTGGATCAATCTGATTCGGATAGGAACTTTTCAGGATCACCAAATCTGGATAACCAGTGGTCAAACAGGATAGGAAATCACAATGTAGAACTATAGATATGTAAAGAGCAACAAGTAGAATAGCCAGTGTGGGGTCAATATAAGTTTATTTTTATTTAAAAAAAGCTAAAAACAAGAAAAACAGACTCCATCCTCTTCCAGCAGTCCGCTCATCTGAGACCTACAACACAAACACTGTACATTGAGGATATTTATAACAAGTTTCAAATATACACGTATTGAATTAAAAAAAAAGACTTAATGTCAAATACTCCACAATAATTTCAGACTTCCTCATCTGATGTGGAGAGACCAGCTTGTCTGAGCGTAGCCTTTAGGAGGCGGATCTCAAGTCTGGCCTTGGTTTGCTGCAGTTTGGTTGGTTGTTCCTCTGCCAGAACGAGCAACACAATGGGCTCGTCGTGGCGCAGAGGTTAGAGAAGGTGTGTGTCCCATGTCAAAGTGTCCCTGAGCAAGACACCTAACCCCTAATTGCTCCCTGGGCAAAAATGTGAAAAAGCCATGGGTTTAAAGTGTAATGTAAGTCCCTTTGGATAAAAGCGTCTGCTAAATGACCTGTAATAATAATAATAACAAGGGACGCAATAGTTAGACACTATTTCTGATTTGGATTTGTTTTGGATTTCAAAAATCAGTGATTGCCATTCTTTGCATTTTTTTTGGTTATTCTGTAATCATTGCATGCATCACGAATAAATATTCTAAAAACAAAAATATTTTCGATTGAAAATATTTTCGATTTTCGATTGTGATGAATATATATATATATATATATATATCAATTAGTGACAGAATAAAATGTATTGTCTTTGGTCAATTTTGACAGCTGTTTGGGGGATTATTTTATGAGGCCAAACTCTTTCTACCTTTGCTGTAGGCCTATACTGAAAGGCTGAATACGTTAAAGCCTACCTAATCACTGTAGCCTGACGGATGAACAAATACAATTAAAACCTTATGAATTAATAGGATATCTTGTAAGATACTGCATGGTCCAAAAATAGTATTATTTGATACATTTTTAAAGTTTTCATTACATTTTGGGCATGAAATCCACGCTGAATCCACCCTTCTGATGGGATCCGTTTAATCCAGATTTTTTGGATCAAAGTGATCCAAATCCTACAAAAAAGTTCTGAAAAATCCAAACTAAAGGTTTGATCCAAATCAAAACCAAGATTGGATTACGTGATCTAATCCGATTATGTAATCAGTTTTTTCTTTTGAAAAATCCATTTTCAAGATTTGATCCAATCCGTTATCCAAAATCCTAGTGGATTACTTTTGAAAAACCGGGCCCTGTTGTGTCGGATCGGTTACACACAAACTAATTTACAGGCGTTCAGTGTGTGTGTGTCTCTCATGACGTCAGTGGAGTAAAGAAATCCATACAGCTCGTAGAAGGCTTCCATGTGTGAAAATCTCTCCTTCAAAGTAATAAGAGCTGTATCAATAAGAGGAAAGTATATCTCTTCTGCAGTTGACTGAGTTTGCTCTTTGCCTTCATACTCAAACTGTCGGGTTGTTCTTCTCTGACGCACCTCTGGCCAGCTCATCTCCACCTCAAGCCTCTCTGCCACTTCCCTGGCCTCTGTCTTGGCGGTGTTGAACCCATCATCCAGAAATTCCTGAAGGAATACTGTCACAGCCCTGATTTCTTTCCTGACTGTTTTAATTGACACGTTCTGGCTCTGCAGGGCCTTGCTGGCTTTATTTATCTGGAACAACACATTTATGTAATTTTGAATGTGTTTGCTTAAGTAATTGTCACTTATCTCGTTGGCTTGACTTGACTTCTTGACTTCTCCTCAGATGTTCTCTCATAATTGGGTCAAACTGAGCCATGAGTTGAACCCAAGGAAATTTCCATTTCCAGGCTCAAACAGTCAGTCAGAGTGGCCACGAAATGCTAGATTGCGCTCTGCCAGATGGTTAACAGTTGCAATTAATCTCGTCAGAACTTCTTTCCAGCGGTTTACTTCAAGAGAAAGAAGATTTTGGTTCATCTGATCGATAGCCGCGTGTGTCTGTAGTTTCTGCGATAGGTTGCGCCAAGCATCCATATTTGCAATGTGCTCAGCAGACTTTTCATGCTGTCTCAGGGGGGCTGAAATATTTTTCCAAAACATTGAACCCATCCTCACTCGGCTGATCGCTCCTTTCTCGGTTTCCAAATAGGCGGCAGCAAAAACAAATAACACGGTCCTTCTTTTCACTGTAGACAAGCCGTGATCTGCATATCCGTTCTCCATTTTTCATCTGCATGTAGTTGCTGCTGGTAAATCTGTGCCCGTCTTCATTCCTCGGGAAGATCCCGTCCTTCACCTGAAGTGGTCCCCTCTCCACTATTGAGCAGCGTGCACTATCCGACAGCTGTTTTGGCCAGAGTGCTGGATCGTTTCCTAGAAGTACAGTGGATGATGCCCATCCCTGTCTCATTCTGAAAACAAATACAAAACACAGCATAAGGCTTTTACCCAGTGGTGAAATGTACAGCATATTTACTAATGTAGACATTTGAGGAATTCATGCAACTTCAATTTTGTCTGCGCTGCTGTACTTTAAACTCCACTACAGTACATTAAATGAAATGGCTGGTTACATATTTCAAACCTTTCCTGCCTCATGAAAACCACGTACCCTCCAAATGATGATTTAATGCTAATATTGTGATAAACTGAAAGAGTCTTCCTTTGTGGGGTGACTTTTAAAGCAAAAACTCAGTACATGAATTCATTCAAAATTAGCTCCATCTTAAATATCTACAGCAGTAAATGATAACACGCATTAAAACGATATTAATATGAAGTTATAACACTGAGGGATCATTTTTTAATGAAGAGTGATAGTTTTTAATAACTTAAATGGTTTATGTTTTTAATGCATAACTTTACACATTCAGGACTAAATCACCCTTAGACAGTTTTGACACACACATAATACGATACGCATTCTGCTGGCATTTTAGCGAGATAATTTTAATCATAAATATAATTAATATGCGCAAGAAAGTAATAACTTTATCAACCATAAGTGTATGAGGATTTTTACGGGGCCCCTCAGGAACTTGGGGCCATAGGAAACTGCCTAGTTTCGACTAATCTTTCGATAGACCGCGTCGTGCGAAGATTCGCTCGTTTAAAATTCGCCTCATTCGCGACGCGTCTGTGCATTGACTGAACATCTGGAACGACTGGAATCTACTCACGCAAATAAATCTCTTCGCTTTTGCTGTCTCCTCTCACAAGGACGAGATGATCTGCAGCATCCTAGTGATCTTCATCCTGACCTCCTGTGTCTGTGGTCAGTTCACTTTTGTGTTTGTGAAGCAGCTGTGAAGCATCAGCACACACTCCTCAGAAACATCTGGAGATGGAGTCTAAAGGCTCCATGTTAAAGCTGTCACTTTGTCACCTCCTCCTCTCCTTCTCAGTCTCCTCAGCAGGGTCATTTGTAGTGAATGTGACACAGAGCTGGTATCATGCAGAGGAGAACCACAACATCTTACTGGAATGGATGTTCCCCACCAGCACGGACCCCTCCCCCAACGCCTTTTATATCACTTGTGAGATGTTAGCTGATAAGATACCCGTAGTCGTGTTTCATCTACATGAAGGTGTCGAGGCCCCAGAGGATCAGGATAAACGCTTTGCAGGACGAGTCCAGTGGGACAAAGACGTCCTCAGAGAAGGACGACTCAGACTTCACATCTCCAGACTCCAGACTAGTGACTCGGGGCTGTACTGGTGTCAGGTGCTCACAAGTTATGGGAAGAACTATAAGGAATGTCACCTCAATGTCACTGGTAGGTTCATTAAGTTAAACTTACTAACACGTTTAATTCAGCAGCTTTATTCAGATAAATAAACCTTTTTCTTTACATGAATAAACAGATTTGTTGTGTCTCTTTGCAGCAGTGAAGGATCGACCCGAACCTGAGACATCGAGTGACACCAGACTGAGAAGAGATCCTCGGGGAAGGATCGGCCTCTACTGTGCACTGGGACTGACAGCAGCTCTACTGGTTCCTTTATTTTATCTCTGCTTTGCAAACAAGACCAGTGATCAGCAGAACAAACGATAACCCAGCATTGCTCCTGTAGCTGTGACCACAGAGTGAGAATGGAGTGAATATTAGTTACTGACGGCAGGAAGCTGCTCATCAGTGTGAGAGTGGTTGAATGATGTGTGTGTGTGTGTATATATATATATATATTTATATTTATATTTATATACCGGTTTAATTTTTGTGTTCTCTGACTGAGATTCAAAGGAAATCCACAGTCTTTACAGACTGAAGTTTTTTTTTGTTCTAGACCTTCAGCTCCTCTAACAGAGACTCTGACTACTGAACATATTCTGCATTAAGCATCGTGCTGCTCGTCATCAAAGACTAATGTTTATTCTGGTTCCTGATCATAAAGAAAAGGAGAAGCCATAAAGCCTGTATGAAGAGAAATAGATCCTCACGCTGCCTCAATATTGCATTTTGCACATAATGCGATTAATCGTTGTTAACCACAGAAAAATAATAATAATTCAACTTCTTCCTTTCCCTAACATTAATACATACCAATTCCTATTTGTGCAAAAAATACACTGTTACATTACTTTTATTTATTTAATATACTGTGAATGGAATAAAGTATTACCTGTTTAATCACTACGAAATCAGTCTCTTCATTTGTCGTATTAATTCAATAAGTCACATAGTGATCAAATCCATCCTCAATAATACAAACGTGTCACATGAAGGTAAATGTTAAGAGAGAAGCAGATTAAATACACACAGCATACAAGGTACACACACTTCTCAGCATTCTGTCTATACAGTGAACACTCTTTTATTTCATAATGTGATCACTGAAGAGGTTGTTAATGCTGCTACATGTCGTGATTATTAGTGACCATTGAAAAGTCCTGAGGAGAGTTCTCTAAAGTGAGAGAAATAAGCTGTAGGCTGACTTCTGAGCGGGCCGACGGCCTGCTGGCCGGGTCCTCTCGTCTCATCGTCTCTCGGGTGAAACCACAAGAACCACTCAGGTTCAAAACAAAAGTGTATCAAGCAGCGAAATCCAGATGAGGTGATTTATGAAATGCGAGTGTGTAAAGTGTGAAACATGTTGGACTGTTGTTCCAGACGCTCGTCCTCCTGTTCAGTAGTCGAGATCATCAGCGTTCACCCTGTTGCCTCGTCTAAGTCAGGAGGGCCGTACTTTAGGCCTCTGTGAGTACATGAATATGTGGTAGAACACCTGTGAACACGCGTGTGCGTGTACTCCAGTGCCGTGGAGTCAGTTTACGCTGTGAATAAACAATGAGGACATGTGAAGGACAGACGTTAT